GGTCCTGGGGCGCGGCTGGCGGAGAAGGCACGCTCTGTAAGACGTCTGTGAAAGTCGAGAGGGCGAAGCCTTAATGAAGAACCCTTTTGTGTGCGCAGTTGTCCTTTTTTTTTTTTTTTTTTTTTTGGAAGTTGTGATTTTAGGGGACCTCAGAAGTTATTTACTTTGGAAGAGTTGACACACCAGGCGCCTAGTCGAAATGCTAGTTTGACACTAGGGAGCTGGGGAAGGGGTGCCTTTTGGACTCAGACTGTACCCTAGGTGGTGAGGACTGGATTCATCCCCCGTTCTTTTAAATTGCCAAATTAAAAATGTAGAAGTTAGAAATATTATGCTTGGCAATGAGACTATTTACTTTGTGCCCTGCTTAATAAGAAAATTTAATTCAATAGACTTGGAAAATGAATTTAGTTTAGATGGGAATTCAGTACTTAAGAATAATGGCTGGTTACTAAGAAGAATTGTGTGTGTGTTTTTCATTTTAGTAAACAGTGCTAAAATAAATACTATTAGGTTTTTGTAACAGCACAAAAGCTGTGTATTTTAATACAGAGCAACATTTTGGGTATCATGAAACAAAAGCATCTATTTTATGAATGTAGTTTTTCATATTATTAAAATAAACGTAAGAGAAAAATGGCAAATCATAATTCATAAAATAAGCCACTTTGTGAAGCATAAGTATTAAAAAGTGAAAGATTAAGTCTGCTTACCATGGAAAGGAAATGGACATTTTTTAAGAAGGTGCTTTGTATGTCTGAGACATCACAAGCATTATACACACACACTGTTCTCCGGTGGGTGCCTGTGGTTAGTAATCATTTTTTATCAAACAGCAGGGTATCTAGTCACACGGACCCATATAAATGATCAGAATGCAAGTTAGACCTCCCAATGGGTAAACTTAATTTATGTTTGGAGTCATTTTGAAATACTCTGTTTTGTTTTCCAGCGCGTAAGTGTATTTTCTTTCTTCTGTTGACTCTGTCATTCTTCACTTTACACACTTATTCAGAGCTGCAGGATTAGGCTACCAACTTTACATCAGATTAAAAAGACGTAATGAGGAAAAATGATTTACAGAAGGAAAAATAGCATGGCACACATTTTCCTGAATGTTTTATAGCTCTAAATGAAAATAGAAATAAACACAGAAGCACGCAAGATGAAAAGTTGAAATTGATTACCCTTTTATGAGTCTCAGCTCCAAATCGCTGTATAAAAATTCTTAAGACAGTTTTTATAGCTGCAAATGTGGAAACTGCCTCAGATAAAATGTCATCAAGTGGCTCTGTGTGTGTTGACAGGATTTTCATAATGAACAGGTTGCAGTTTGTTTGATGTGTATATCACACATCTGGCTGGAAGTTACTAATTTACATTGTCTTAGCAAATTAAATAGATGACTATTGATTCTCTATGGTAGCAGTGAACTCCCACATACATTTGTTTTCAGGGCTAGTTCTCAGGCCTGAGAATGATAAGTGAATTCCTTCCAAATACACTACCTCAAACAATGTACTTAAAGAATCACAAGTCCCCCAAATAATTTGACAGGCCAGATGTTTTCCAAATTTAGACATTTTAATAGCATACATTTTGAAGGGATTTTCATGTCATGAAAGTAGAGAGAATTTTAAATAAGCATTTGTCAAATGAAAGTGTGACATTTTGGTGGCAGCTACATTCAGAAGAAGCTCATTTTTTTAAATTCCTGATGGTAATTTGTTGTTGTTGTTGTAGTCAGTATTACAGATGTCTTACATTTTCCCCCTTTGCCACTCTCCACCCAGCCCCTGCCCCACCCCAGCCTTCACCACACTATTATCTGTGTTCACAGGCTATGCATTATATGCATTAAAATATGCCTAGAAAAAATAGTAATTATTATCTAACAAAAGAAATAAGGAATAGAAATATTTAGTAACCTTGTTTTAATCAGCAGCTACAACAGGGATTGTAGGAATTTTAGAAGTAGGTGGTATATACCTGATGTTCTACTGGCTTTTGTATGACCACCGTACAAAATCTTGGTGTTCTGAAATTCTGGAGAAGAGAGCAGTAGGACACTATGGTTAAATTCTAAAAATTATCTTAGTTTTCCTCTGGGTCCTTGAGGTTCCCTGAGGCTTCTATAGCCCTTCATTGAAACTTAACCCCCAACCCCTACCAAACCAAGTACCCCCCACAAACCCATTAAAAATATCAAACTAAAAAAACTGTCCAGTACATGATTTCCTATAAGACAAACATGCCCTGTTAGCTTTATGTGCCACATTAAAAAAAAAATTATCTCTTACAAATTTTGGTGCTCACAGGCTTTGAAATAAGTGTTAAGTATGATAGGCCCTGCTCCCTAATTATTTTCAAGAACGTAGGTTAATGGAGTTGGTGTCTAGTAACAGTGAATGTTGGGGAAAGTCCAGAAAAATATGGAGACAAAAGCATTCTGTGTAAAACCGAAGTAATTTTTAAAAATTTTATTAAATATATCTTTATTGATTTCAGAGAGAGGGAAGGAAAGGGAGAGAGAGATAGAAACATCAGTGATGAGAAACTCATTGATTGAGCCCGCAACCGGGGCATGTGCCCTGACCGGGAATCCAACCCGGATCGCCTGGATCCTAGGTCGACGCTCAACCGCTGAGCCACGCCTGGGCGGACCTAAGTAATTTTGTTGAATTCATGTTTCCTTGAGTTTGTTTAATTAGTAGTATCAATATTAGTTCCCAGTTCAGGTAGAAAACATTAGCTCTTAGTGTGCAGAAAATTGAAAATGTGGAACACCCAATAAACTATGAAAAGGAATTTCTAGAAAAATGAAAAGTCTTGATTCTCTTTGTGTTTTTAAACTTTATATGTTTTAAAAATAAAACTTTAAAAAATCTACTTGTAAGAATAAACCAATGAGGTATAAAACCCTATTTTAAAACATAAATTTTTCAAACATACAAAAAGTTGAAAGAATAGTATAATGAATATTTGTACACACATGATCTATAATATAAACCATATTTGCTTTATGTATTGAATTTTTCTCTACTTATATGTGTCTATTTGTATGTGCATTTTTTTCTCCATAGAATCATTCCAAAGTAAGCTACAAACATCATGATATTTATTCTTAAATAATACTCTCCTATAGTCACTGTACTGTTTATGAAGGCACTTTAAAACTGTTCTAAATTACTGTGTGTAGAAGGTTGAAAAAATATACATGAGAGCTAGTTTATTGATGCCATTAAAAACAGTCTGCCACTGAAATTCATCAAGTACTCACTGATGTATGACCTCAATTAGGCTGATTGATAGATGATATTTTTCAAGGGGTCTTGTGTAGTGGTAGAATATGGTAAATGTTAGTGAATTTTAAACTAGGCCCCTAATGAGAATTATAAGCTAATACAATTTTGATATTTTGCCTGAAAAGTAAGAGAGAGAGAAAGAGAAGATTTCAAGAGTGATTTGGTAATTTTGGATTCAGACAGATTTAATATCTTTGACCATCTTTTGGTTGGTAAAAAAAACTTCTCTGCTTGTTTATTTTCTAAGTTTAGAATGAAACACAGAGTAAAAAGAAATCTCACATACTGTTTTAGAGTGATTTACTGATCATAGAGAAGGAAGTAATTTTCTGTGTTAAAATTTCTATTTTGGTGTTGCAAAGTGCAGAATAGAGACAATTTATATTAGTGGTCTATATTTGCTATCTACTAAATAACCCTTTTGAATTTAAAAAGTTAGGGCAAGTGCCAAAGGAGACACACTTCCTTCATGTAAAAGATAAAACAAAGGTCTCTACATTGTAATTATTTCAGGTCCCATAATTTTTGTTCTTCTTTGCACAAAACCCTGTAGTTTTCACAATTAAAAGGGTTTGAAGTATTAACATATTCTGTGAGTATAAAACCTTATGTATTCTTGCCATAAAGCAGCAAACATTAAAATATGTTGATATTAGTTTGCTCTTTCAAGTATAACAGTGCTGAGTTCATTTTTAAATTAACTTAAATGCCCAGTGATATTACAGTTATTACTACTAAGATGTTTAGAAAAT